GAACCGCAGGGAGAGACGGCCTGGGACACTCACGGCCGGAGTCACTAGGTCAGTCGGCGTAGTGGATACGCTCAGACCCCGAGAAGAAGAGACGTGAGAAGATCGGCCAGAAGACGACTGGGAGCGCCCAACCACCGTTGACACGACGCTGAGCGGTGCACTTGACTGGGGCAACCCAGCGGAGATGGGCGAAGCCGAGCCTGGGGCACAAACGCTCGTAGTCGGGACAGGCAGCGAAGCCACGACATCGGATGAAGATACCAGCGGTGGGCGAGTAGCCGCGACTGACGAAGTCAACGGAAGACCGGAAGACGAAGAACCCGTCGAAGTCGTCGAAGAAACCGCAGGAACAGTGTCGGCGGGCGGTTCAGGCAGCTCAAACTCGAATTCAGCCTCGCTCGAAGCGTCATCGTCGTCTTCAGAGCGAGCAGAAACAGCGGGTTGGGTAGCTGAACTCAACGGAAGGTGACGAACCTTTTTCCGCCGAGTCCGATGACGGGACTTTCCAGAGCGGGGCTTTCCTCCATCGGACATAGTAGCTTGAGGAGAACTTGGGTGCAAAAGCGCACTGATAGCCTCGTGTCCATCCTCTCCCGGAAGTGGACAAGCGTACGGCTGAGGCGGATGCGGCGCCGGTGGACGAAGACGAGGACCTGCAGCAGTGGGAGACTTAAGGTTGGCATAACGTCGAAGCCGCTGAGTCGAAGTCAAGTTCGCCAAAGGCGTACGGTGAAGCTGGGCAAGAGTCGGCTCAGCCTGGCTCGTAGCCGCCGCTGAGCTGACTGGAGCCGCCGCCGAGTCTGCCAATGAAGATACCGAAGACGCTTGACTAGCTGAGGGAGCCACACTAGGACCGATAACGGAACTCGCTACTGGAGCATCTCGGCGAGGATGGACAATCAACTCCACGCAGTCGGCTAATCTCCTCGCGTCACTGCGAAAGGCTGTAGCTCTGAGTGAGGCAAAACTTGCTCGGGCCATCGCAGCTGAGCAGAGCAAGGTTGACGCTGCTGAGTTGACAAGTCGACGTTGCTGAGAGCAAGCGAGTCCAGTCGCCGAGTCAGTGTGCGGTTCTCCTCCTGAACAGCTTGATTGTCAGCTCGGAGATCGCCAATGGTCTGTGGATAATCATGAGCAGCGTAGTTGCCTTTCAAGATATCCAACAGTTCCCCCGCGGAAACAGCATGCAAGATCGCTCGCCGTTGCACGGGATCGGAGGGCTCCACGGAACGAGTAAATCCGTAAGCCATGAGCCTCGCCAAGAAGGTCAATTCTTCTCGGCGCTCATACCCTTGTTCGTTAACTCTGGCCATGAGGGAGTCAAGACTCACTGGAGCAGCCGAGCTTGACTGACTGGTAGCGCCCGAAGTGGTGTCGCCCGGCAAGCTCGGTGGACCAGGAGGGCGCGCGCGAGAAGACTCCGCCGACTCCGCGTCAGACTCATGAGAAGTTGTCAGGTCGACCAGCCTAGCCTCAGGCCGGTCGCTGACCCCACGATTACCGACGGGTCGGGGAATCGACTCAGCTGGCACGCCTTCACCTCGACGAGGAGTTGGAGAAGAATGATGGTGCCGCGAGTTGTGCTGGAGTAACAAGCGAGGAGTAAGGAGCTGCCAAGGAAGTAACAACGGAAGCAACAAACGTACCGAAGAAGGTGGTGGAGAGCCGCGGGACGTCATCAGCCGAGTATGGACCAACGGTGGCAGAACCAAATGAAGGATTAAGACACTCACCGGCTCGGCTCGTATCATAACCGTGGCAGTTGTGGTGTAGGGATTTCCAGATTCGACCATACGCCGACCTACTTTAGGTCAAGAATCGGCTCGGTCTGATAACCCAGAGCTTAGGAGCAAAGGATCACGGTAAGTACTCGGCGATCTGTCCGGATATGCTATCCGGATAGCCGCTGAGCTCAACGGTCGCCGGAACGCAGCTGAAGGGTCGGTAGAGATCCGAAACGACTACATTTCACTAGATATTTGTAAAGGAAGCATAGGATGAAATAGGGGGAGCCGAAGAGGCTCCCAGAAAATAACAGAGCAGAATTTTCCTAGTTCAAGACACGTGTACACTTTTCCGGTAAGTCCCTGCATAGCGCTGGATTATGCCTGCCGTCAGTACTCGAGAGGCATAGCTCATAGGGTATTGACTGGTAGCGCCAAGAGATTAGGTCGGTCCGGGTAGGACAAAGTCTCGCTACGCGCGAAAGAAAGTCCCGCATACTCAGCGGGCCGGTACGTTGGATAGCCCGGGTGCCGTAACACTTCTAGCTGAGCTGCCTCTGCGCTCGGTGACCTGTAAAAGCGCTCGCGCGCCGTCGTCCATCCTTTGGTGGAGGGCACAGGGTTGTGAACGAGCTCAGCCGAACCAAACTCGGCGGAGCCTCGGAAGTGCTCTGACTTGGTTAGTCGGAACCGAGTGGAAGCGAGCCACTCGTCTGTCCCGGAAGGGCCGGACCGCGAGGGGACCACCCTCTGCGCAGCCCATACAACCGCCGACCTAACTCAGCGATTCGTTGTGGTTTGTGTAAGATATCCACATCTGACAGTATTTGTGTGTTCTACTACACCACACGGTCTTGATCTGCGATCCGACCGTAGGATTGCCTTGCGGCTGTGTTCCCTTGCCTTTGAGTTCCTTCTCGTCGTACTTGCCGCTTCCTATTGCGGATCTTGAGAGTTGAGAGCCTCTTAGGCATACCCGGCTAAGAAGTAAATCCAGTTAACCTTACGGATCTGCACAGGAAAGCTCACTAGGTGGTAGTATCTAGCCAGTAAAGTATCCAGTTTTCACTACCAACACTAGATCGGCTATTCCCAACCTTCACCGAGCTTGTATGGCCAACGGAGCTCCGATTTTATGAGGGCGGGGAGGCACTTGCGTGGTACTGTGCAAATTGAATTCTGATCCAACGTTAAACTTACACCAGCCTGGATCCATATCCGCTCTACCCTTTACTCGCTAAATCCTTTGCCAGGCCTGACTACTTGTCCTTTCTCTCCTTGGTCCATCTACCCAGATGTTTCAGCACCGGACTCCCTAGATCTCTGGCGCAATCATTATATCGTGGCCGATCGTGAAATTATCCCCGACCAGGGATACCCTCAATCAGAAATATTTCTCGATCGTGAGTACACCTGGATCCTGACGATCCTACACCCCGCGTCACGGTCTCATGCACCTCAATCTGTGGCCAAATCTCAATCTATATTTAGGTTTAGAAAATGCTGTTTTGATATGTAGTTCCTGTTACTGCGACAGACCCCGCACTTGTGCTAACAATCGGGGTTTTGATGGCTGTGGTGAGCCCCCGTACAAATAAGTGAATTCGCCACCGCGACACTATTATCACGAAGTCGGAACTATACCAACTTCTATACACTGAGGGTGTTGGTAAAGTGATATGCTCCAATACTGACAGAAATTAAGTATAGCATTCGCAAAGATGCTGTCCAAGCCTCGAGCCACCGATAAAAAACGCGGCCGAATTAAGAGCCTACACGAAGCCGGGTGGTCCAACCGTGCTATTGCTTTCTGAGTCAGCCGCAGCGACCAAACAGTAGCTCGCATTCTGGCTCCACCGTCGCGGAAATAGGCCAAAAATCTGGGTCCTCCACCGCTGATGTCCGATAGAGAGGTGCGTCTGCTGGCTCGGAATGAGGCTTCCACCAGGGAGTTTTCGGTTTTGCAGCTCAACCAGTTGGTGAACAGCGCATCCTCGTTGCGTATCATCCAACGTGTGCTTGCGTGTGTGGACGTTTTTCAGTACACGAAGATGGACAACACGTGGGAGCTTACAGCCGAACACAAGCTGGATCACCGTGAATATGCGAAGGCGTGGCTACTCAGCACCAAGGATGTGGGGTCTCGCATGTTATTTTAGGATGAGAAAAAGTGGAACCTCGACAGGTTAGACGGGTATCAGGGTATCTGGCAAGACCTGCGTGTGCCAAAGCGCCAGAGTTACTAAAGAGACTGATCCAGGATCGAGTAATTGATTTGGCAGATGGCTCAAAGCTCGTATCGCAAGCAACTTTCGATGCTATTGTGGCAGACACGAACGTTACTGGAGATTCAAGTGCGTTAAGCCGAGTTTCACCCATCCACCCTTGTCGGAAGGTGATGAAAGCTGAGCATGGAAATGCTGTCCGAGCTCAGCCACGCAGCGGTGGACTCTTTGCCTGACATGGCTGCACTTCCTTTCAACGTTGCCGGGTCTGCTTGTGCGATCGAAATGATGCGAAACGAAGAGGTGTTTCCCTAATGATGTGGGGTGGGTTTAGTCGCAGTGGTAAGCTCTTTGATGTCTTATGGCATCGCTCAGCGCTTCTGTTCTCTTCCTGACTTTATGCATTTTCCTATTTCTCATATTAAAATGCCTTTTGACTGAAAGGAACGGTGTACTGTCTGCCTCCATAAAGTAAAGCAAAGTTAATACAGTTGGTAACAAAATGTTGGGAGTAGAAATGACTTTGATGAAGAAACGGAACCTCAGATTAGGTCATGTACATAAGGCAAGACTAACGAGAATTTTTGCACATCATTCCGTTAGTGGAGTACTCTGAGCTTAAAGGCTATTGCGATATGTGAAGTACCAAATGCTACTAGAGCTTCATACAGTAATAATAATTGGGTCGTGAGTTAAGTAGTTAAGTAGCCATTACATACTTTGCTCTTGGAAACTATGGGAAGGATGAAAGTAGATGGCACGTATGGAGGAACTGGATATCACTATACATGAGCAATTGCAGGAAAGCTACGTGTTCGGTTAAGTACGAGTGAGCAGAGCCACGAGTTGAAACCGGTATTTCCGAACCAGGGGAAGATCAGCAAATCCGGTCATTTAGTGATGAACGCCCAAGGAGCTCAAGCTAAGAGATCAGAGCTCGGAGAACGACACGGTGCTCGATGCGTCGGGAAGAAGCAGCTCGAGCTGCCAGTGAGAATTTTTCTCTTCTTCGATCGGCAGAACTTGATTAGTAATCCAAATAGGAGTCCTACTAGAATTGGTTTTTCACCTTTTTAAGGTTTTGTCCCATGGGTAGGATTTTTAAGTAGGGAAGCTCAAACGAGTCGAACTCAACGGTCCACTCCAAGGAGTCAACCTCCATGAGTGCAGCCCAATCGAGCTAATCAAGTCTGTCTCCCCTCTTTGCTGTGATGGTTCCCGATGAAGAAAAATTCTATAAGTGAATTTATGTGATGAAATTGGCAAAAGAAGTGCACACAGGTTGTGAATTTGATGTTGCTGCTCAGAACTCAATTGGAGCAATTTACAGAGAAAAGGTTTAGAAAAATGATGGCGGTACGCAATTCCTCAACCAGAAAGGAAAACGTTTCTTCTGTACTGCTGCAAATAGGAGTTGATGTATCATATGAAGAAAACTATAGAAATTCTCTCTCCTTCCCCTTGATTGCATGTGATTGTACCCTTGCGACACCAAATCATAGCACTAATCAAATCACTCCCACATTGATGATCAAACGCAATGTTTCTTATCTTTAAGCTTATAGACTTACAAATGGGACGTGCACCATGTATTTGCATTGGCCCGGTTAAGGTAGACTCTGACGTACTACCGTTTCCATGCTCAATGTTGTGGCTGTTGCTGTGTTTAGACTCTCAAACCAGGTTTTTTAGAGCTTATTCCGAATTCAGTTCATGTATCAACAATCCTCCAAAACTATTAATTGACGTAACCAACTCAAATACAAGCCAAACTTATTACGTACCGTTGGGTCCACCTGTCCAAAAATAAAAAGCCAATATCCGTTTTTCGTTTTTCTAGTCGCTTTATCGGTCGCCGGCATCTTGAACTTTTAGCCATTTCAGCATCCGTTGGCGGTTTGTGCGTCAGTTTTTTGTTCTTGACCACGTGCTGCATCGTAGTAATTTTCTTGACGTTGCTTGTCGCCCTTTGCGACAGTTGATCCCAAATGTTGGTCCGCCCACCTTCACGAGCATGGTCCCGGTCAGTCTTCATTCGCTCACACTGGGCCTTCTGATGATCTTAACTTCAAGGGCAATGTTCGAATTGAGGTGCTACTTGCATTAAAAGTACCTTTGACCTTGAGCAGGGTGTTTACCTCCGACTTACGCTTCTCGGCGCGCTCTCTTGGTATGACTTATGCGGGTAACTGAGCTTACCTCGTTCTGACCGACAATCGCTTTCTTCGACATGTCACCGAACAGCATATTCAGAGCGATCTCTACGTTTTCCGCCGTGAGCGGCTCTCCGACCAGCTCCATAGATAATGTCATATCTTGCAAGGAAGTTGCGCCAAACCTTGCACGTACACCACATCTCGGTCTTTATCTCATTTCCGAGGAGATTCTTTGACTTTCGATTTATCTGGGTCCGAGCATGGTTCACCTGTGAGAACCGGGCCAGAGTGCATCCCGTTTCGAGTTGAGAATTCGATTATAACGATGCGTTAGCGTCACTAAGCCGCCAGCGTCACGGAGTCCAAAATATGCTCAAGGTGTTGTCAACTCTCGCAAACCTCCAGGCTCCTCGCGCCGTGTGACAGAGATGACAGAAGCGATTTCGATAGTGACGTGCTGATGCCATGGCGCATAGCGACACCCTCCTTTCGCCACATCATGACCCCTCTTCGCATAGCTCTTTGCCCCTCCTCTCGAGCGGCCTTGACTTCCTCATTCAAAAGACGTGGTGGCGTAGACTCCACGACATATATCATACTATTTTTGGTTTCAGAAAAAACCTTTTCTCGAAGAACTCATTCTCGACGTCCAGGTCTAGCTTCGTCACGTGCGTGATGAGGTTTTCTTTCCAAGTAACTTATTCAGTTTGCCGGCCAGAGAACTCCAACGTGCACGACCTTATCTTGGTTATTCGTGGAGGTCATCCGAAGTATCTGAAATGTTGTAATCTTGAGCGCAGTTGTAGTTGCAGATGTAGTTAGCCGTCAGACGAGGCGGCTCATTTAAAAATGAGTGCCGCCCCCAGCTCTTCATTTGTCTGGGTGTCTTTTCTGAAAAGTTCTAGAGATCCCGGAAAAGTGTAGACTCTACGTGTGTTTTCCGGTATACCAAAATGTGGGACCGGTAATTCGATCTGTTTACTAATATTCGAAGCACTCAAATTTATAGAAATTAGTTTGCCCTTCATTTGTAAGAAAGATGTGCGCGGGGAAGACTATAAGGAAACTTGTTCCGTTTGTTAGATTGCCAGTACTGACGTGTGAGGTGGTGGGGCAACACGGCAGAATGAACGCGATGAAAATTATGATGGACAGATGCAACGGGGTTACATCCTGCTCCAAGGTCGAGATCGTCTACTAAACCTTCGCGCTAGCCGCGAGAGCTTGAAGAGAACTAGAGAGCAGCTAAATTTAAAACCGCTCCGGTAAACGACGTAATCTGCGGTGTTAAAGCTAGTGTAGGAAGTGCTGAACGAAGAGGCCGCGGGGGCTCAGGTACAGCAAATGCGTGTCGAGTACACAGCCAAGCACATGCCTTCGAAAATGATACCAAGGGGTCGCTTAGCACGACGGGCATCGTAACAGCGATAAAAGTATTAGCTAAGATGTACGCTGACGTGGGTGCCCTCCTTTCGTGAGCCGTAGGAGCCCGACCGAAAGCGAATAGTCGCAAATTCTTATACGGCATTGACACCCACCAAGAGCAAGCTGATAGGGGCGCTAAACTACGATGGAGCGCCCTGGGTCGCGTTTTTCATTGACGTGGGGGATCGGGTCTGCAGACTTTTCGATCCGCTACAAGAGGATATAAACTACGCCAAGATTAAAGGAAGCATCAAGGAAGTTGTGGAACTCTGCTGCCTGTAGATACCGAGCTGATGTACGACAACTACACATCGTGCTTGCAGCAGGCCAGCGACAACTGTGGATTGTGGTGCATCATTGTTCTTGAGCTCAGTTTAACTGGTATGCCGTGGTCATGAATACTTCCTTTTGCTTTCGTTTCACTAAATTCGCTGCATTTGCTTGCTCAAGCTATATAGTAATGTTAAGTGATTGTAGTGAATCCTAGGTATTTCACCTTGGTTTCCCTCATAGTTCAACGGAGACGACCCAAGGGCGCCTGGCAGCTTTGCCATCTTCAGGCGATGGGTATGCGTGTCTTCCCAGTCGGGCTAGTAAGGTCCGACCCGGGTTTTATATTAGGAACCAGGCCAACTACATATCATCTTTCTTATAACTTTCCCAGCGAGCTTTCTGAGGGACGCCTTAGAAAGGAGCTGATAATTGAGCTCGATCTGGTTACCATCAGACTCGAGACTCATTCTACGATTTACCCGATACAATACACTTGGCTATAAGTTCCAGCGGGGTGGCTCCCGCTTTGTCGAGTGTTGATTGGTTTTTCACCCGGGATTTACTACAAAGAATTCTTTAGTGGAAAAAGTGTTTTCTTTGGTACAAGTCCAGCTGCCTGTACCAAGAGACAAGAACAAGTACAAGAGCCTGTTTCTGCCGTCGTGACTGTGGTTTTCTTTTGGCGCGACCGAAGCAAGCCGCTAAGGGCCCAAGGGTTAATCGTGGTTATTTCGGCGTGAGTGGGACTGAACCTCAGCAAGTACCAGCCAGGATGCAAGGAGCTGGTACACCGGTATTTACACCGATCGTAGCACCGGAAATTACAAGTATCTCTCATGAAGCTCTGACTGATTGGACGAACAAGCGCCGTCACTACGAGAGCAAGTTGAGAGCTCGATGCCGCGCTACTGGAGAAAATTATGACAACATAGTCCAGTCCGTTCGCGACTCAATGGATCCTGATTTACTGGATGTACTTTGCGAGCTGAGATTGAACGAGGACGTTGCTAACGTGAATGACGACATGCTTATTGCTGAGTTCGCCCTCATCCTTTCAAGCGTGAAGAATGACACGCTCCCTGACGTCAAGGCATTATTCAGATCCAAACTGAGGATGAACCTGATGGAGAGTGATGTCGACGCCCGTGTGCTGGACTACTTTAACCAGTTCCGGAAGCTAGTGCGCGAGAATGGTCTGGGCGCCTGCTTTGAAGGTGACGGGGGTAACGAGGCAAAGTGCAAGCAACTCGTGGCCTCTCTTCACCCAGCGGCTCTCAAGGAAGAAGTGGAGCAGTGTTTGCAGTATACGCATAAGCAGGCTGCCTCGATTCCAAGACTGTTGTTTGACCTAGTCGTTGAGAAGGCGAAGGAACATGAGCGCCAGTTTCTAAGACAAAGGAATAAGAAACGAGATCGCGATGAAGATCTGCAGAAGAAGAAGAACCCCGAAGGAAAGAAGAAAATCAGGACCGGTGAGAATACGGAGGACTCTTCAAGGAAGGTGGCCAAGACCAATAGCATATCCAAGACCAAGACGAAATCGAAGTCGAAGAAGCTACCTCCAAGTCCGTGTCCAAAGTGCAATGAGATGCACTGGCTCAACGAGTGCCCCAATGCAACTGAAGATGAAAAGGTGGAGCTGAGAAAACGCTTGCGTGAGGCGAATGCAGCCAAGCGTACAAGGACCAAGCGCCTTGGTGAGTTTCTACCGACTCCATCTCGTGCTGTTATGGTGAATGGAGTACTGGAGATTCCGTACTGCGCTGACAGTGGCTCTGACCATACCGTGATGGGCCGCTCTCACTGGAATCAACTCCGGGCTCTGGACCCAAGTGTTCAAGCTGAAGAACTTACTGTCCCTGTTCAGAACCAGACGTTTGGGTTTATGTTGGTGACTGCCGATAAGAAGGCCAAACTCCATTTAATGATTCGCACCGCGGCTGGGCAGGTTAAACCGATGAAGGCTGTGGATGTGTTGATTGTCGATATGGATGACGACGAGTTCATACTTGGCAATGATGTACTAAGAATGCTTGGGATTGATGTGGAGCGTCAACTGGAGCAACTAGCTGACCTAAATGTGGATGAAACAAGTGGCGATCCTGTTGAACTGGAAGCCGATGAATCTCCGGTCCGAATTGGAGAACCTCAATCTGAGAATGAGGACGTATTTGCTGCAGTTGAACGGTTGGTTGAGCAAGCAGTCGAGAACGGATTCCCAGCAGACAAGCTCGATCGATTTCGTACTATCATCCATGCCTACGATGTATGGCGTTTGACTCTGCAGGATGACCCACCAGCACGTGTGCCACCTCTGGAGATACGACTACGGGAAGGGGCTCGTCCAACAAGGTGTAAGCCTCGACGGTATCCCCCTCACATTCGCAAATTTCTTCACGATTTCAACTCTCGTTTGGTAAAACTAGGACTCGTTTACGAGAATTCGGAAAGTCGATGGGCGAGTCCCGTTCTTCCTGTCAAGAAGTCAGCGGACCTTATGGATCTTCGGCAAACCACAGACTATCGTGAGTTGAACGCATTGACTGAAGTCATGGCAGCAGTTATGCCGATTTTATCCGTGGTGATGGAGAACGCGAAGGGAATGAAACATTTCGGACTCTTTGATTTTTTGAAGGGCTTTTGGCAGCTTCCGTTGGCTCTAATGTGTCAAGAATTGCTTTCATACATGACCAATGAGAAGGTTTTTACCCCTCGCAGAGTGCCTCAGGGTAGTAGTGATGCTGCGATATTCTTTCAGAAGACCATGGAGAATTGCTTTGCCAGTCTACTATACGACCATTTACTGATTTGGATCGACGACTTACTCCTTTATGCCAAGGATATTGATGTATATTTGGTCAAGTTGGAAGAAATGCTGTCACTAATGGACCACTTTGGCTTAAAGCTGAGTGCAAAGAAAACGAGCTTGTACCAGACTGAGATCAAGTGGTGCGGCAGGATCATAAGTGGTGAAGGCATCAGACATGACCCAAACCGAATTGACTCGCTACGTGCTTTGCCATACCCACGTACTGCCGGAGAGCTTCAGCAATTTGTCTGTGCGGTCAATTGGATGCGTCAAAGCATTATTGATTTTGCAAGGCAGATTGCCCCTTTACAACAAAAACTTGACGCGGCTCTCACGAAAACCAAGAGGACCAAGAGGGCGGCTGCTGGCATTAACATTAAGCTGAGCAGTGATGAACGAGTGGCATTTGACCGGATTAAGGATTCGCTCGCCAAAGCTGCTACTCTCGATTTTCCTGATGACAACGCTACCACATGTCTCTTCACGGATGCCTCGAACGTTGGATACGCCGTTATTGTGACTCAAGTTGTGGACTTCGACCCTCAGAAGCCTGCTACAGAGCAACAACATCGGCTCATTCACTGCACAAGTGGAACGTTTGCCGGTAGCCAGCTAAACTGGACTGTCATCGAGAAAGA